CCAAGGGTATGGTCAAGACCTGCTGTTTTTGTCAAGTGTCTTGAGATAACATTTGCTAGTAATTGGTGCTACACTAATTAAGACTGATTGATTGACCTTGCAAGACATCTGAAAGAAGAACTAGTCCAACTGCGAGTAACTTATTTGAACTTGAGACTTTAATCATGCAATTGTCAACAATATGTTACCTCAAGGACTAGCGAAAGAGTTGAAAGTCAGATAACTAAGGATTACACGACTTCCGTTGAGACATTTCACTACAAACATTTCCAGATCCAAATGTGAAACTGGCTCCAACTATCAGTAGATTAACAAACTCACCTCTGTCGTAAACCAGCATGGATTTTGTCGGGATGTTGAACGTGTTAACTAAGTAACAAAATCAAGCACCACCATGGAATACACACTGCATGGTTTAAGCATACATTTCTGTGCAGGCACCTGCATGCGAGTAACGGATGAACAGAAAACACATGCTTCCTCCCCTCCACACATACATAAACAAACTTACCCCGCATTGTTGCTGACTGCTGTGAGACCCTTCACGCCGGTCTTCAGCAAACTGTTGATAAGATTCTCTGGGATACCACATAATCCAAAGCCTGTGTTGGAAGCAAATGAAGAAGCCGATGCATTAAAAACAAAACATAGACACAAGCAAGGAAGCATTGAAAATTAGGGAAAACATTTTCAAAACATTTGTCAAATGTTTCACATATTGGTTAAGTAACGAAGCAGACTGGTACAGGAAGTAGAGGATCTTTTCAGCTCTAACCCTGGATCAATGCACGTAATTCCAGTCCTTGTTAAATGGCATGGGACACATTTGCAATATAACTCTGAACAAGGCAGGTTAGTCTTTTTCCGTCACATTGAAGTGTGACACAGTGGAAAATGTTTAACAATGTCACTCTGAACTTGACTATAAATAAGAGCTGTGGAACTTGTGTGTGCTCTGTGTGTGTGTTTGTGTGTTTGTGTGTGTGCATATATTTGTGTGTGTGTGTGTTTGTGTGTGTGTGAATACTTATCAACCACCTTGTCATACAGAGTTTAGGCTCAGGTCATTAAGGTGCGATTGTGTTCATCCTACTATCTTGGAGTCAGTTCATAAAAGCCTCGTGTATCTTACCTCCGACTAAAAGAGTAGCTCCATCTGGGATATCTTTGACTGCCTCTGCAGGATCTGAGTAGAACTGTGAACTTCTTTGGCAGGAGGTGGAGAAGTAACAGCTGGATGCCTGTAGGGAGTAAAAAAGGAAATAGTATTTGACAAAACATGTTAGTGATTATTGAAAAAAAAACACATAATGGTATAGCGCTTTCAAACACATGACATTGTTTGTTTAAATATATTGCAATGTGCCTGAAGGCAGACAATACGTTTGTATAGTTGAGAAGGCTCATCCAGTTGAGAAGGGGAAAAATAAGCAAAACTGCTGCACAAATCCTACCACAAAAGGACTGGAGATTAGGGAAGCTCAGAGTGAGGAGACCCAACCAAATATAGCTTCCTAAAGACCCAGTTCAAAACCTTGCATGTCCTCTGCAAGTGCAATTGTAAATGTGGTGATCAGACTCTTTAATGTATTATTGTGTGTGATATATTTTCAGCGTTTTTGCCAGGATTTGATCGTTTACAAAAACACATTTTCCCCATTATCCAGAAATCAGGTGCACATGTATCTCTTATTGTAAATCAAAGCTTGTTTGAATAAATAACGTTTATTCATCATAATACAGATGATTAATCATGTTCTGTGTGGGGGAAAAAAGAAGACACCTCTAAAGGTTTAGCTACAATATTAACTATAGTAACATAAGGTTATGGAGAGAAAGTTTTGAAAACACATTCAGTAGCCTAAAATGTTAAATGGGAAGTTACTTCTGCTCTTACATACATTAAACACTATATCTCTGCCTTCTGTCTCTTTTCTTGCTCAAAGTTGTTGCTTGCTTGATCTGCTTGTTCATTTAAAAAAAAAAAAAATCTAAAAGTTAGATTTTAATGTTTAACCCTTTTAAGATAAAAGCATTGATTCATCATAACTTTAATAGGAGAGGAAACGCTCATCAGGGCATGTTCCCCAAAGCGATCCACACATTTGCTTTCCTCATTGGTTGGAAACTCAGACGTCACATCGATGTCCGAAATGCTCTATTTATAGACAGGAGCACCGTGATTAATATCCAGACTATGGGTACCGACTAAAATAAAAACACACACTTTTAGTGTGAATCTATGCTGGTAAACAAACTGGGCAATGCACGTGTGTGTTATCACCATCTGCACAAACATGCACACGTGTTAACGCTGGATGTTTAAATATATTGCTCCTGCTGGTTTAACTAATTTTTCTAAATGATTCTAAATCACGTTGTCTAAGTCACTCGTCTATGATCTGTAAGCTTAAAAAACGACAATACTAAGAATCCCCGGCAGAAATGCAGGCTGCGGTTTGAGGTCAGATCAGTCAGCAGCAATCACCGAAAAGTAAACTCATAAATTAAACATAAAAAATAAAAAAAATCAATATTGTTACATCACCTTAACCTGAATCACTTTATTTTGATTTAAAGGACGACTAAAGGAAGACAATCTCCATAATAGTATGACCTTTTAATCTTGCACAGCCATGGCAAACCATCTTAAAGTCAACCTTGGTAGTTTTACAGCTAATGACTGTTTAATACCGACCTTGCTTAATTGGAGATGAGCGACGTTTAATTTTGTTGTGAAGGGACCTGAGAGGTTTTTGTAGAATAAATTCTCCGCTCTGCACAAAGCTTTGAGTGCCGCCATGTTCAGGAGATACACACACACACGCACACGCACACACACACACGCGGTGTATGAAAGCCGAGGGGGCAGACTGATAGCTGCAGCCGGTGACAGATGATGCAGTCTGAGGACGCAAAATGTGGCGACTAGCACTTACTAACACACACACACACACAGTGAAAAGTCAGCGCTACGTTGACATTGGCTGGTTTCTCAATGGGCTGGGCCAGCTCAAGTGGAAACAGAGAGGCCCGGCGGACTCATTTAAATGTAACCCCTTCACTACTGAACACAGCCATGCAGGCGCGTCTCACACTTTCACTGAAACGTAATTTCATCCCCTACACTTTTTGACTTTTTACCAGTGGAGTCATTAATGAAAATCTATTGGTCAAGTAAGATTTATTAAGTGGCAATTAAGTAGCTGTTTGGTTATAGTTGAAGCATGGTTTTAAAGACCTTGAGTCCAAACTACCTCAGGAAGGAAATTGTAACTGTTTCACAATGTGAATTCATTTTAAATGGACATGGTTTTACATGTGTGAATATGTGTTTCAGTGTCTAGATGCTATTATTGTTAGCTGTTAATGTGTTTATATTTGTGCTGTTTTTATTTGTATTGCTGCAGGGCAAAAAAAGACCTCGGTCTCAGTGGGACCTCCCTGCTAAAATAAAGGATACATTAAAATAATAAAATGGTGAAGTTACGTGCATTTAGCAATAATCCTCATCACTCATCACTGGCTGAGTCAGAGCAAGATAAATCCACATTTTCTCCTCTTGGTTGTTCTTTTAGCTGTATTTATTTACTCCCGTAACTTTAATTTTAACAACAATAACTCTTTCCACAAGTGGAAGTGTAAATGCATAAAGATAAACTTATTGATTTTTTGTGTTACAACAGCTCTAGAAAACAGGAAGTAGGAATATAATTATTCTATTCTATTATTGTATTTTTTTCACCCTTTATTTAACGGATGTAAATATGTTTGATTTTTAACTTCTTGTTATTTTTAATAATTATATTCCTGCTTCCTGTTTTCTAGAGCTGTTGTAACCATGTTGTAACACAAAAATGTCAATAAGTTTATCTTTATCTTTACGATGTAGCGGAAGTCCCCTTCGCAGTTTTTCAAAATAAAAGCAAATTATATTTGATGACCCGAAAAAGACTGAGGCATAAGGCAATAAGAAAAGCAAAATAAAGAGCATCACAAAGAGCAGTTTGAATCTTTTTTTTTTAGAGCTTAAGCTAACTAGGTTTCTACCAATGGATGTTCATAAAGTTAGTGTCTAATTATCTTTTAGATAATGGTTAGAGGGTGGTTATGGAAGGCCATAACTCTCTACAACAGCTGCGAGCAGAGAACTGTCATCATGATAATATCTGTCTCTCCATACTGTTATCTGTTCTGCACATGTTAAATTTACAAATTATCCCTGCACTCATGTCCACTTCATTTGGCTGTCTACTCGCCGTTATATTGTGTAGTTTCTGCTGATAATATGTCTACACTCATGCACTTTAACTTATGTCAATACTGTCCATTTACAACTCTGTTTGTGCACATTTACATTTAATCTTTCATATTTAATCTATAACCATCTACGACTCTGTTTTTGCACATTTACATTCAATCTTCCATATTTAATCTTTTTTTTATTGATTATTTATTCAATTTATTTCAGACATATCAAATAAAATCAAACATATCAAAAATACAAAACAAAATGAAAAGCATGAAAATACAATAAACAAAAACAATGTTCAAATTATTTCACAAAAAAAAAAAAAAAAAAAATTACATATATTCAATTTATATGCCTGAAAAGGAGTGGGAATAAGTATAAAACTTCCCATTTAAGACTAGTAATGCTTAGTGAAATCCTTGTATTGTATTTAATCTTATATTGTGTTTAGATTTGCTAACATTGTGTTTTTTACTCATATTGTGTGTTGGATAACCTGCTGCTGTAGCGCCACAATTTCCCAGCTTGGGATCAATAAAGTAATTCTATTCTATTCTATTCTATTCTATTCTATTCTATACTAGAATTAGAACAACCGCACTTTTAAAATGTTTCTATATCATAAACGTGATTTTAAAAACAAAAAAAAAAACGAGTGTAGGGTTTGATAGTCGGTCGTTTCCTTTGATGTTTTGGATGTCATGGAAACAAAAGTGACATTCAACGAGCACGTGAGTAAAATCCCCGGGTCACGTGACGAATAGTTTCAGTCATGGCCGACGAGTACAGGCGACAAGGTTTCGAGTTGGAGAGAAGGATATTCGAGTTAGACATCAAGTGTTCAAGCCTCCGAGCTGAAAAACAAGGTATTGAGTTGACTTTTCCCCGCGTCGTGTCCGGCGACCTTCTTTTCCACGTCGATTGCGTCACGGCTCGAGTTTTGTTTTAGCAAAACTAGCAACCTAGCTTAACGTTGTGGAAAAAAAAATAATTATATATCTCGCTGCCATAACAACAGCTCGTAGTCTATAATGAAATGTTGAAACGGTGACATGCAATGCAAACATGCGGTGAAATGTGTACTTTGATCACTTTGCGGTGGCGTGTCGTCACTGTGCGGTTTATTTTGTTGGGAGTTCACGGCTAGCGTAATCTCGCTAGTGTTAGCTTAAAATGTTTTGTTGACAAACGATCAGCTGGACTACAAACATGACGCTGCGGGGCCCTTAATGTTGAGACTACGTGAGGGGACGTTTTAGTGTTTATTGTTGCAGCTGTCACATCCTATCATTATAGTCAATCAGTAGATGTTAGTATATAGACAGTGGTGTATTATGGTGTCCATCTGTTCATTACATTTGTTTTAAAAACGTGATAACTTGTTTTATTAAATCGTCAGTCAAAGGTTCTGCTTTGGCTTTTTTTTTTTGTGTATTTTGCCTTAATTTTATACAAAGGATGTTTTTCTTTGACATGTAAACTTAAAACTTTTGCTTTTTTCCACAGATGATGATTATTTACAGAATGCGTCTGCCATACTAGACAAATTGAAAAGCTATTACAGGCATGGAGGGGAGAGTGGCAACCTTTCAAAGGTGCTGCAGGATTACACACAGGTACTGCTTTACATCAAAGTCCATTACGTTGTCTGCAAGCTGCAATCCACATTTGTAACGATTGTTTAAGATGTGACTTTCTTTAAGAGAAGTTAGTCCAATGTAAGAGAGGAGAAGACAATTGGATCGCTATTTAGCTTTTAGGAAAGGGTTTAAATATGAATTAATTTTGGGAGAAAGGCTAATGTTGTGACTACAGTTTTTTGGCTGTTTTGGTGTAACATTTTAGTAGTTTCTTGAGCAGAGGTTTCAGGACAAACTGTTTTCTTTTTTATTGGGAAAGTCTGACAAAATGTTCTTGGCTTTTATATTAAAATATAGTGTGGGTATGTGTTTTAATTTTTACTTTGCAGGTGATCCTAGACATCACATTTTATGAAGAGAATAAGCTGGTGGATCAGGAGTTTCCTGAGGACTGTTCACCGTTTAAAATCCAGCAGCTGCTGCAAGACCTGACCGAGCCAGAAGTTTTGGCAGGGAGGCTAGCACCAGCACAAGAAGTGAGTATATATGTGTTATGGGTTATTAAACTATTTTTCACAGTGTTTATATCTGTTTCATGATGTGCGATGTTCCATATTTGAATGGAAAAGAGTGTATGTGTGAAAGATGAATAGTCAGTATCGGTTTCTTACAATCGATAAGACCCCTTTTGTTTGCTCTCATCTTCTTGTTTGTTACCATTTCTTGTAAATTATTGATTCCACTTTAGTTTTCTCTGTTATTTCTGGCTTTGTAAAACACACTCGCACATCCATGTCATATATGACAGCACTAAACGTATCATTTTTGTATCTTACAGGTGCAGTCTGTGTTGGGCTTGGAGCTGTTAGAATGCCTCTATTGGAGACGGGGAGCTCTGCTGTACATGTACTGCCACACCCTTCACCAACGAAAACAGTGGATCAAGAAAAACAAGGACACATTCCTTAAGGTACCACACTATAAAAATAGATCCAAGGCATATCTGGAAATTGCATTTGTGTTCATGTGGACTTGACTGATTCTGAAACAAGTTTGTTTTGTATATTTTAATCCAGTGTATTCAGGAAGGTGTGCGCTACCTGATGCGGATGCTGCAGGTGAGAAACTCTGTGAAGCTCAACGATGGGGTGGTGCTCCATGACCCTGCTACAGCAAGCTTCTTATCTGAAGGTAAACATTTATGTTCACCTTTCTCATAATAGCAGAACATGTTTTGTTGTGACTTTATAGTTAAATTAGGAGAAAGCTTTTAGTCTGAGCCAATAATGATTCTCGCTTTCTACCTCCGTTTTTTAACCAGGCATCTTCTCTGACACACACCTGTTGACGATGATGTACATCGGGGAAATGTGTTTCTGGGCGGTCAAGTATGAGGATTGCAGCGCTGACACAATGGATCGCAAAGAAGATCGCCTTCAGTTTCGGGACATTGGCACTCAGATCCTCAACAAATACGTGCTCGCCTGTGAGGGCCCGCTGCAGGGCCAGGGCTGGAACACAGAAAATGCCAAGGAAATCCTTAGTATTTTACAGTGAAGCTAACTGCTGCTGTGTTGTAGTTGCCCTCAGGCACAGATCTAAGTTCAGTATTCAAGTGTGTGTCAACCCCAAATAAAAATGGAGCCTATCAGGAGGGGTGTAAAGTTGTGGAAGGTTAAGGGGAGGCACGGATAGGAAGAGTATGTGATGAAAAAGAGTCTATGGATCAGTGTCTACAGGCAACCTCATCCCTTGCCAAACGGCACAGGCCAAAGCAGGCGAATATGAAAAGTATAAGATAGGTGGTGTAAAACTGGCAGGGGCTGCAGAGAAGGGTGTTGGTTGTTTTCTTTTTCTGTTTGTTTTTGTTTGTTTGCCATGTCCTGCTGAAAAAAGCAGTTATCATCCTGATTCCAGACTGTTGACTGGGGCACTTACTTTGCTCTGAGAATGTGTTATAATAACATTAATATGAGTATAAAAAAGGTTATTAATACAATTGACCTTTTTTCGTTTTTTAATAAGATTGTTACAAGTTTGAAGATAATCCAGCTGGAAATAAGACATTGCACAGTAACATTTTATTTATTGTTTTTTTTTTTTTTTGCCATTTTGTAATGCTTTTAATATATTATAATTGCATATACATTATATATGTATGTGTGCATAAAAATATAAACTCTAAAGGCAAAGAAAGTTGTTCAGAAACTATTTGACAATGATGTATTAATAATTGAAGTATGTTCATTTTTTTGTCATACCGGCTTGTAATGCACCACTTGTATTCTCATCTATTGCAACTTCCATTTTTCTTCCACTTGCGTTATCTTGATAGTACAACTATTAATACAGAATCAATGTTGTTTTTGCGAAAAATCACTTTCTTTTTTTATGTCGTCGTTGACAATAAACACGCGCGTTGTTTTAATTAAGAGACTTCGTTTGCATCTCATGTCTACTCGCTGTTTTTAGTTGTAGTTTCAGCGAGTACTGTAGAACGGCAATACCCACAATGCACCACGGCCGCCAGCAACAAGGAAGTGTGACATGTATAGGGAAAACGTCAACTTTAGTTACCATCTCAAAGGTCTGTTTTGACCGCATTTTGTTAGCTTTTCGCACATCCTCCTTCATGTGAAGTCATGTCAGGTGAGACACAGCAGCTCAGCGAGTCTGTGGTGATCCGCAGCCTCCGCAGATTCAGAGACAGATACTTTCCAAATAAGGGGTTTGTTGGGAAAAGTGATTTGACGTCTGTGGAAGATAGAGATGAGCTTCAACATGGATTTCTGGATAGCTTACCGGTAAGATATGCGAATCATTAATGGGTGTTTGTCCCATGTAACGAATGAACTATTGAACGGCAAATAAAAGATGCATTCAAGGACAGACTTTGAACCTTAATTGGCCACTTCGTGTTTACTTCCTACTTTTACTCAGCACTTAAAATCACTGCACTTATGTCCACTTGTAATGAAGGACAAGCTCAGATTTATCTACTCCAGTTTGGAACAACAGCAATAGCCTATTTTCTCGTCTTTGCATTAGTTATAAAAGAATATAATATTCCCTGACTTTGAACTCAGAGACCCAGAAACTGATACTATCAGATTATTAATTCAACACAGTGTTAATATTTCTTTTTACATAAGAGTTTAAAGAGTTTGCATAAAGTTTAAAGTTCTAAGTCTTATCTTTGCAGACTTTACTGCTTTCATCTGAGATGTTGAAGCTTCTTTTAAACATGTTTATTTTCATGTTTGTACATTTTTATTAGCTATAAATAGACAGGTGTTGTCTTCACCTCTTTCACAGCTTTTGAGTCTTCTGTTTGTTTTACAACTTTCTGCTTTAAACTGTTTTAGTCTCTTTGCTTAAAAAAGAACAACATAACGGGCATAGAATCATTTAAACATCAAATCGTTTTTTGGAGCGAGGACATATCACATTATGATGTATCACGTTTGAAATTGTGGGGAAAATTCCTCATCACCATCATGTCAAATCACACCCCTCCTCTTAAGGTGGACGTGCAGTTCCTGATCATGGCGTATCTGTCTCCTGCTGACATCTGCCGCCTGGGAGCCACCAGTCAGTACTGGAGGGCGGTGGTGAGAGATCGGTTACTGTGGAGATACTTCCTGCTCAGGGACATGCCATACTGGACCTCCATTGATCATTTGAGCATGCCCCAACTGGAGGTATTGGACGCACCCCTAATCAATGCAGATGAGAGCCTAGATGACAGAGAAGAAGGGGATGACAAAGGGATGGAATCAAGATTTGACTACATGTCAGAGTAGGTATCCATTGTTTTGCGCAACATTTGGTAGCCATGTGATGGAAACGGTTTGAACCATTGTTTCTGTCTCATCAGATACCTGAGAGGTTGCCCATCCTGCAGACAACAATGGCTTCCCTCTCGCCCAGCATACGCGGTTGTGACTTCATTTCTTCAGTCTCTGGTAGCCTCAGCTGAGCCTCGCTATGCAATGTTTGGCCCCGGCATGGAGCAGCTGGATGTCTCTTTAGTCAGAAGGCTCATGCATGCACCAGATGTGCTTCCCGTGTCCGGCACTCCACACAGGCAGATAAATGGTGAGATAACACTGACGATGAGGACAAAGGACAAACTTCTACTGGTACTCTCTTATCATTAAAATAACAGTGTTAAATCTCCCCTTTTAACCAGTTTTAAAATGTGTATCTTACATTACTCTATCCCCAAACTATAGTGCTTATGTTCTAAAAACTATTGTTATGATACATCTATGATGCATACATCAGCAAACACGTTTATTTAAAAAGTTGCATTATTAGTTGGAGTTGTTGTAAGGTTTTCTTTCCTACCACTAGGTGGCAGTATTTTCCCAAAGATGTTTTCTATCAGCCCAGAATGTAAACAAACGAATTCCAAACTTTTCTTTGATCTTAGGTATTGGCTCAGGGATCAGCTACCTGTTCAATAACCAACACAAATTCAATATCCTGACTCTGTACTCGACAAATAGGTGAGCACCTCGCCCTGTAGGTCAACATAAAAATTGCATTTGCTATTTATGTTTCTCGTTACATAACTGTCAGTCTTTCAACGTAACTTCTTGTGTTTGTGTGTGCAGGGCGGAGAGGGAAAGAGCCAGGCTGGAGCAGCAGAGCGTCAATAATAAACTGTTTTCTTTGGAAGGAACAGATGACTCCGGACAGCCGATCTACATCCCTGCTCCTCAGGTCCAGCAAGTGTGCCAGGTGGTGGATGGTTTCATCTATGTAGCCAATGCAGAGCCTGGAAAAGGTAGGATAAGAAGAGGACATGTTTATTTGCAGCTCTTCCCCCTGAGAACCCTCTCTTATCACGTCATTCACATTGGTTGCAGCCATAGACATGTTTAGCTGAGTACCTTTGCATGAAATTCTATGTGTTCAGGTGAAGGTGAGTCTGAGGTGGCTCAGATTCGGGCTCTGCTGAGCGCCGCCGGGGGTTCGGCTTCCAGGCCTCTGCTGGTTCTCTCCTGCATTTCCAGAGAAGAACCAGAAGCAATCAGCAGAAGTACGGACAGGTGTCGCACTTCCTGTGTTTACATGGCAAAGAGACTCGGCCTTCCAAAACTGGCTAACCCCTGGATGGTAATTTTTTTTGGCATTAAATCATTTCAGTATTTTTGAAATCTTCTGCCGCATTTATTGCTATCAAGTGTCACTGATTTTGTTCCTCTGTCTGATTCAGGTGCAGGATACCGTAGCAGAATCCCTGTCAGGTCTTTTGGATGGTATTTCCTGGTTGCTGAGATGTTCTGGAGTCAAACTCGTTGGTAGCTAGTTCACAGCTAGTTAACTTCTGCGGCTGCTGCTGCTAGATGAATTCAAACCACAGACTTCTCTGCTGTGTCATCCTGACACCAAGATACTCCGGCATTTCCTGAGTAATGTGTACCAAATGTGAACTCAGTGTCTCTGGATGGGAAAACTGCCTGTGGAATTTAATGAATTGGATGAGCAGCAAGACTGCCAGAACTTTTACTCTCTGTAAGAAATTGCAGAGAATAAAAGCCAGGGCCTCTTGTTTTTATGGAAAGAGACATACAAAGGATTTATAGCTGGATAGAAAGTTATACAAACATGCGAGAGTTTCACAATAACCCTTAAAGATTTGGGTTGCATACAGAGCTCTATGCTGCTGCAGGGTGATTAAATTCTCCCTAAATCAACTGTAGATTGTGATGATTAACTGGCCATTGGCTGCATATTTAAGATGGAATTCTCCTTCGCATATTTCTTTTCCTGGGACGACATGAAATAACAAAAACGTCCAAGCCAGCACACTCACAAAAATGGTAAAGATTTGGTCCGTGCAGCAACACAGGTCTGCTTGTTTCTTTTGATGGTTTTGGTGATTAAGCCTTGTTTATGCCAGAGTGCACCTCTCAATATTTAAATGTTCTAAAAAGATAGAAAAAGGCTAATCATAGAAAAAGCTCCATCCTGGCACTGTTTAATAAAGCTATATCTTGGGCTAAGCGCTGTGCAAGACTTTGATTGGTTTACACAATTAAAACAATCCACAGAGTGCAGCATTGTGAAAGGCTCAACTAGAAGTTTTTGTCCAGCCCTGGCAAAGCCCTATGCAAGGATAGTGAAAGTTAATGCTGCTGCCAATCTGTAAATCAAGCACTTGAATGTATTGAAAACACAATGCTTATGCAATCAATACATTTTGTAATACAATAAACTCTTTATAACTTTATGATCTCAAATGTTTACATTTTTTATATGATGCGAAATCACTTAGTTCTAGAAATGGCTTGACAACTTCTTACTTCCAAGGTGATGAACGAGTCACACTTTCATTTTCTTGCACCAATTATAACAATAACTAAACCACCTTCTCACCGTGAGTCATGTTTTCGCTTTCCTCATTTTCCTTTGTTCTTTTCTTCCCTATTCTTTTCTCTGTAAAATGTTTTTTTCCCCTGTTGAGTAATGTGCACAAGAGTTGCCCTGTGGTTCCTTTCCTCTGAGGTCAGACCTGGCATAAACACTTCAATCCACATCTGTAGGCATGACCGGGTATCATTTTAAGCCACCAGGGGGTGCCACTAGGAGTAATGTTATTCAGTGCCGTGTGAAAAGAAAGCTTTGCCTTTGAACTGCCTTTAAAACATGTGTGACTTTAAATCTTAAATATGTTAAGAGAACCATACAGACATGTTGGCCAAAAAAAACTTTTAACAAACAACTGAACCATGTAGCACCAAGCTTCCTCTGTGGAATAAGAGCTTTCTAAATGGAGCAAAGGGTGTCTGAAAATGGACAATTGTCAGACTCCCTAACCACATCCACAGGCTCACAAGGGTGTGACCTTCGCCCCTTCTCTTTATCACGGACACTGATGGATGCAGGAGATCTCAGGCAGCAGATACCGCATCAAATGTTCTGATAATACATCGCTGCTGTCCCTCCTTTAAGGTCAAGTATCAGACCACAAGAATACTTTAACTGACTTTATTTCTTAGTGTGATGGAAACCTTTGGACTTATCTTATCTAAACCTTTGAACAAATTGATTTATTTTAGACATGGGAGAGAGGCAGTGTAGGAGAGAGTACAGGAGTGCATTATACATGAGCTTGTGAAATCATACAAATACTAAATACTTGGGTACACATTTGACAAATACAAATTTCAACATGTTCATTGCTTTTCATTTGAATTGACTGAAAAATACCCCCAAACACTTCAAACCTTATTGTCCATAGACAAAAGTCAGTTCCTGATAATGCTTTCAAGTTGAGTTACTCCGCTGAATATTACCTCCTAAGTGATGTTTAGTGCCCTGTTCTCGCGGTAGTGGTCCTATGGCCTAATAGCAGTGTAGTGGCTATTTGTCCAAAAAACAACAAAAAAAAACAAATAAACTAATATCAAAAATAATCAAA